TACATGGCAGCCCAGGTGGCAGTCCCTCACCAGGGGCATTTGTCCTCAGCACTCTTCCATTACCTGTTAGGAATTCATTTATTCATCCATTCAACAAACTTTTTTTTTAATTAAGCTTATTAAGTTTTAAATGTTAATTCCAGTACAGTTAACATACAATATTATATTAGTTTCAGGTGTACAATATAGTGATTCAACAATTCTATACATTACTCAGTGCTCATCATGATAAGTGTGCTCTTAATCCGCATCACCTTTTTTACCTATCCCCCCACGTACTGCCCTCTGGTAACCCTCTGTTGCATCATACATTTTTTAAACACCTGGTACATGCCTCTGTGTTGGTACGGTACTAAGTAATGGGGTCCTAGGGTCTCAGCTCTAACGGAGCTTCAATTTTCCCACATCAGTGTTTTTCCTCTTAAGTATCCAAGACATTCAGAGTGACCACAGAGTGCCCTATAGCCCCTTTCAAGCCAGACGGTAAGCAAAAGATTGTTGTCTTTCATTCAATTCTCACAGGGTCCTAATCTTTGGTAAACTTATGCTAATAATGATATTTCCTCCAGGGAGTACAATCCAAATATTTAACAATCCTTGACCATTGGGTGCCTAACAAGAATGGGAGCAGCCTAAACAAGGAGCAGCTCTAGCAGTATGATGCATTTTACTGAAACCAGTCCCGTTACCCCCAGAGAGGTCTTTTCTAGCACAAGTCATGCTAGAAAACTAATGTGACTCTACCTACTCATGAAGTTGGCAGTAACAAAAATTATAAGAAGGGCCCTACAAAAACTATTCTTATTTGCCAATTCTAGGGGAAAAAATGTAGGCTATATATTAAGGCCCAGAAATAAGAAGTGTAGGAAAGGAGTGAGTTCATGATGATAGATTGACGGACCAGAGCAGAAAATACAAGACAGGTAAGCTATTTGTTTTGGAGACCAAGTTTGAGTCTTAGGGGAGAGGACTTGAGAAAATCAAGTGAGATCTGTTCGTAACACTGGGCTCAAGTTAATGTGTCCTGAATTTCATCAACTCCAGAGCGAAAACTGCTGATTTCAAATCCCAGCTCTGCTACTCACTAACTGTGTGATTGTGGGCAAGTGACTTAATCTCTCTGTACTTCAGTGTTCTCATCTATACAGTGGGGTTGATTGAATGAAACCAAACTTATGGGGTGTTTGTGAACTAGTATATGCAAAGTGCTTGAACTTTGCCTGGTACAGATCAAGAACACACTAAGTGCTAATTATTACTGAAGAAATTAAAACAATGTCTACTGTGTCCTTAACAGCAAGAGGTCAATTTCATTCACTGCACTAATATTTATTGAATATATATATATATATGGCAATGAACCTCAGCCAACAAAATCCTTGTTCCCAAGATACTTATATGTAGAGGAGGGAGGACCAGGGGAGAAACAGAAGACTAAAATAAACAACTAAGTAAAAAAAATATATTATTTTAGATTTATTATGATGATCATGAAAAAAATAAAGCAGAGTAAGGGTTATAGGAAGTGCTGGGGGGAAGAGGTGAAGGGAAGAATGTTCTAGAGATAGGAAATTGTTAAGTCAGAAGTATTTAGAAAAATGTTTGGTGTGTTCCATAATAGCAAGGAGGCTAATGTGGCTGGAGGGAAATGAGAATGGGGTGAAGTTTTACAGTGTGGGGTCAGAGGGGTCCTGGTTGAGGGTGGGGGGCAGATCATGGGCCATGAAGCCATTGTAAGAATTTTGGGTGTTGCTCTAGGATGGGTAGCCACTGAAAGTTTTTTTTTCTTTTTTAAAATTTTATTTATTTATTTGACAGAGAGATAGAGAGAGCCAGAGAGCACAAGTGGGGGGAATTGCAGAGGGAGAAGGAGAAGCAGGCTTCCTGCTGAGCAGGGAGCCCAGTGCAGGGCTTGATCCCAGGACCCCGGGATCATGACCTGAGCCAAAGGTAGATGCCCAACCGACTGAGCCACCCAGGCGCCCCACCACTGAAGGTTTTGAGAAGAGGAGAGACCTATATTTTATTTTATTTATTTTTTAAAAGATTTTATTTATTTATTTGACAGAGAGAGACACAGGGAGAGAGGGAACACAAGCAGCGGGAGTGGGAGAGGGAGAAGCAGGCTTCCTGCGGAGCAGGGAGCCCAATGCGGGGCTCGATCCCAGGACCCTGGGACCATGACCTGAGCCGAAGGCAGACACTTAACAACTGAGCCACCCAGGCGCCCCGAGACCTATATTTTAAAGGACAAAATAGACTATTGTGTGTTGGGTTGGGGGGGAAATGGAGGGATAGTAGGTAAAGGAAGTAGCAAGATCAGGTAGGAGGCTATAGTTGAAAGATGATGGTAGCTTAGACGAGGGTCTGAGCTGTGGGGAGGGAGGTGGGAAGAAGTGGATCCTTTCAGGATGTATTTTTGAAGGTAGCATGGACAGAATTTGCTGATGAATTGGATGTAGATTGTAAAACAAAGAGAAAGGTCAGAAATAGGGAAGCTCTGTGAAGACAGGGATCTCTCTCTCTCTGTCTCTTTTTTTTTTTTTAATATTTTTATTTATTTGAGAGAGAGAGATAGAGATAGAGGATAGAGAGAGAGAGCGAGAGCATGAGTGGGGAGGAGGAACTAAGCAGGGCGCTCCACGCGGGGCTCCATCCCAGGACTCCAGGATCATGACGGGAGCCAGAGGCAGATGCTTAACAGACTGAGCCACCCAGGCGCCCGGGATTTTTCTCTTTTATTCAATGTCATATCCCAACCAACTAGACAGTGCCTAGTACTCAACAGACATTCTTTGTTGTTGTTGTTGTTTTTTTCAGACATTCTTTGAATTAATGAAAAGGCAATTCTGATTCGTATTATACCCTTAATTTCTTAAATTCAATAAATAGTACACAGCAGTTAAGACATCTGCAGATAAATGAAGTATCACAGCAATCATAGTTTCAGCAGTTAAGCAGTGAAAACCTTTCCAATTCTTTCACGAAGTTAAAAGCAGACATTGCTGCATTCCTAGCCACCAGCTGCCAATGACCAGGACTAAAAAACAACTTTGATACTTTCTGTAACAGAAGAGAACTTTGTTACAAAATACTCAAAATAAACAAACAAAACCCAACAGGATATATACCTGAGTATATGCGAGTAGTCTATTGGAGAAAAGCATAGAGACCTAGAATTCTGTCATCCATCCTTACCAAATCATTATAAAACACAATCAGGAAAATGAAAATATTAAAACATGGAGATTTAATGAGGTAAAATAAATTATGCAGACATTTAAGGCAATCTATGAAATGTTCTATTTTGGTCATATTCTAAAATTAAAAAGCAAATTTTATGCATTATATGCATAAAATATTGCACCATGTGAGAGGTATAGGTGGCTATATAATTGATAATCTCAGGACATGCTAATTTGTAATCCTCCAGTACATGTTTTTGAGTTTAGGGTAACAGGGCCTGTTGATATCCTTGAGTGCTGCATAGAAACGATCCCCAGAACACACCCACTTTTTACTCAATAGTGATTTCTGGAGCCTGGAAGCCAATACCTGCTTTTGCCAATTTTCAGGGATGTTATTAAGTAATGTTCCTCAAAAAGGCATTTAGTAAAAGGATTTTCAGTTCTAGACATATGTATGTATCTTGACTTGCTCCTGTCCTCTGGGGTCTTACTGCACTGATTTCTTTCGGCTGCTTGAATTGTGCGGGACTCTGTGGGGGCTATCTTCAGCCCTTTGTAGGCTGGACACTTTTGCCACAAAAAGTGACAGCTCTAGGGTATGTCACACATAGAGTGACAGCTCGCGTATATAGGAGGGCTCTAGCAGCAACAGCAATCAGTAAGAGGAGCTAGGGGTGGAGGTGGGGGAAATTTTGTAGAAGCTGAGTTTGCATAGCAGGCATAGGGGTTTTTGTTTTGTTTTTTAATGATTATTTGGGGTGCAGATTATAGGGGAACCTAATGTTCCCTCGAGTTACCCACAGCACTGCCACTGTTCCCATTGCCTTTGACTGGGCATTAATGCAGCTCCTACTCGCTCTGATAGCTCCTCCTCCTTTCACCTCTCTCCCCAATATCCCAGGGCTAAATGGCGTGGAGCTCCTGGCTACCCGTGTACGTTCTAGGCCAGGGCGAACCAAAACGCAGAAGGATATTCGTGTTGCAGCGTAGCGTAGGGAGTCTGGGTTAGCCTTTGCGAACTTTCCAGGATAGTGCGAAGTTTTCTCATGTTGGGTGCATGTGGGCACCATGCGCCCGAGTTCTGGCTGGTATGTCAACAGGGTCAGTCCCAGTAGCGTACTTTGCGAACGCTTTGAGAGAAGTGTGAAGTCCAGGGCTGCCCTGGATGGGCGTAAAACGCCGCACCCAGTTTCGTCTTAGGGCAACTCCCACCCCCCAGCCAGCATTTCCCTTTAATGCGCGTGCCCGTCAAGGTCCCCGCGTCCCTTCCCTTCAGGTCGCCTCGCCAGCCTCTGTTTCCCTAACCTCTCCTGGTCCCTGCTTTCCCTTCTTCGTGGGACGGCCCTCGCCCACCCCCGCCGCTGCTCACTCGCGGGACTCGGCTGTCACTTTACTTTTCCGCGCCGCCTCCCCGCCCCCTCGCC